GCGGGCTCGGCCCGCCTGGATTTTGGTGGAGTTTGCTTTTCTGAACCTTGAAAAACACAGCGTCTTCCCCTCAGTTAACGCTCAGGCTGTTTGTCCTCAGTCTTGACAGTTTATCTGGCTGGCCAGACTGCTGTCTCTCTGCACTTTAAAAAAGCAAAGGGGTCATGGTGCGCTTGGGTCTTCCGTTTGGATGTGTAAGTGGGTCCAAGTTTAACCTCTGCAGAAAGCATTGTGATGCTATAGTAACAAAAAAAACCCAAAACAACCAACCAGCCAAACACTAGGTGCAGTAAGAATAGTGGAGAGTTTAGGCAAAACTGCTTTGAAGTTGCTTCGACTGACTCAAAGTTGCTCTTTGGGGCTACTTTCATAATAAAGCACATCTTGCGCTCAGAGATGAAAATCAGTTTACAGTGGCTGAACCTACTAAAAATGTGCTTTGCTGCCTGATAATACTTGATGAGTGGATTATCTTTCTTGAAGGTGTGACTGCTAAAGCAACTTTTTTTTTGTTTGCAGGGGCGGGGGGGAACACAAGAGAAGGACAGGACAATTTATTTGCTACCAAAGTTACCATCACTAAATCTAAGTTAGTGTTGTGAAAGGTGAATTCTAAAGCTTAGTAGGTATGGGTGGGGGTTTTGTTCATTTGTTTGGGTTTTTTTTTTTCACTTCAATAGCGTGTTTCAGAACTTTGAATTGACCTTAAAACTTTGACAATTTTGGGCGACTCCATTCTAACTTGATGTCATCAGACTGTCCTGCTGGAAATTTAATTGTACTCAAAATCCTACTTAATCTGGGCTGCACAATCTAACTCATAAATTTATTCATGATAACAGAAGACAGCACTGCTGTTTTGCTGTATACAAGAGGAGATACTAGCTACTAGGCAGGAGCCTGGGGAACATTCTTTCTACCAGTCCAACTTTTGTATTCAAAACAGATCATGCCACAGATTTTTCTGATCTGTGGTGTTGGTAGAGCTTTTGTTTTGTGGGGTCCCCCCCCAAATCTGAGACCGTGTGAGGTTTATGTACACTTAACTAAATGCCTGAGAGCACACTGTAGTCAGTGTCAGTGCAACATCAATCAGATTGGATTAAGTCAGGCTTTAAACTTATGCATGCAGCAAACGTTGACACATGCACACCCCTTTCCTCTTCCTAACGTTGCTACCTTCAGTTAGCTGTTAGTGCACTTCGCCTGGAGGCACCTGCAGGAGAACTGGCAGCATTGGAACATGCAAACACTTAAGTACAAAGTCTGATTGCTTGGATTGAGCTGTAGCAGGAGGGGGTTGAGTTAAGCTGTTGGACTTTGCATTGAAGCAGCTGAGGAGTAATGGCATACCCTTGCTGTTTCACTCCTGGGAGGTACAGCCTTTGCAGTAGAGGTAGTACAACAGAAATGGTAAAAGCTAAAGTCACGCTAGCCGATTGCCCAATGAAAAGATGTTAAATTTCAAATTATTATACTAATGTTATGCAGAAGCAAATTATTTCTTAGTTCTTCTGTAATACTGTAAAGTAGATTTTGTTCTGTGAAAGGGGATGCTGGAACGATGGGAACAGAAGGAAGAGGGGAGAAATCCTTTGAAAATGCCATGATAAATTTGAGAATATCAGCTATATTAATCTGATACCAATGCAAACTAAATTATGGTTTTAATAAAATTACATGCTGCTGTCCACTAGGAGCTGAAGCTGCCCTCCTACAAAGGCCAATCTCCCCAGTTACATCTGAGAAGATACTTTGCAGATCTGATTGCTATTGTGAGCAATCGGTTCAGACTCTGTCCTGCTGCACGACATCTAGCTGTGTATCTGTTGGACCTCTTTATGGATCGTTATGACATATCTATACAGCAGCTGCATGTGGTTGCTCTTTCCTGTTTACTTCTAGCAAGTAAGTATGTAGCACCAAACTTCAACTAGAGCAATATAGGTTCTGCTGCCAAATACAAGGCGTGTCTTGATGGGATATAGCAGATGGGGGAACAAAGTGATTATAAAAGACAGACAGATTAGTGTATATCAGTTTGGCCCAATTGGTAGAGCCTTTCTTTAGACTCTTGTTTTGACTTCTGTTGGCACCCAATGAAATTGAGGGGAGAGAAAACAAACTGTGATTAAAAAACAATGTTTATGCTTGGAAACAAATTATTCTAAGGTGAACTTTCAGAGCTGTATTGTAGGAATAGAAAGACTGTCTTTCTGAGGACATCTCAAAATAGGCAGATCCAGTGGTGGAAATGAGAAATTCGCATACCTGTGATAAAAGAAGAAATTAAATAAACCATATGTAGACTGTACTGCACCCTGCTGATGGTGCTGTGTGGTTCTGGAATACTTCAGATTTCATAAATTGCAATGTTCTTTAAGCAAGCTAAGGCTGACGTACATCCTGTATTGTCACATACAAAATGTAATACTGGTGAAATATGTTGGTGAATGCACAGTACTCCGAAGACAGAATTAATTACAAACACTCATTATGAACAGTGCTGCTTATGTTGACTTCTGCTAGATTCTTGTGGTGTGTATCCATCTTTTGACATTTGTGGACCCCTTTTAGATGTCCGCAAAGAGATATGGGTCTAGTTTGCTGGGATACCTGCTGGCACTTGTTCTTAAACCAATAGATTCAGAGAAACAGGTCCTGGCAGCAGAACTAACTCTTGGTTCGGTTTCTGCTGAAGTGTTTCTCTGAATCTGTTTTCATTTTCTCAAATAAGATATATTGCATTGTAGCTCTAGACCTTCTTCACTAGAAAACCAGAGTGCTGAGGTATTGGCTATTTTTGGTATACTGCTTCCTTTCACTGCATCCCCTGTCTCCACCAATACAGCTATTCAGTAGAACAGTTAAACAAGAAAAGGGTTATTTCAGATTCTTCGGGAGGTAAGCTTTGACTGGATGCCACCAGCCAGCAATCTTCTCTTGGCAAAGGATGAGGTGCCGAGTATGAAAACCTTGCCTCAGAAACCAGTGTACTCCATTTAGGAAAATGGATTGGCTTTGTACTAATGCCAGATTTTTCAAATGAATTCATGTTCTGAAGAGAATTTTTTTATTTTTTTTTTTTAATTTTTTTTTTTTTTTTTTTTTGTAAATCACCTCTGCCATCTTTCATAACAAGCTGCAAGTAGAGCTCCGAAAGCCTGGAGTACTCACTTTTCTGAGAAGCAGTGTATGAATTGGTTCAGAAAGCACAAACCAGAATGCTATTTTAAACTTTTGCCCTGTGTGACTTAAACAAACAGTTTAATCAGTGGTGCAATAAGTTGGACAAATCACACTGTGATATATCTGATAAGGTTATAGAAGTAATAAGAGAAATTATTATGTGACTCCTGAAGCTTTTATTTCTGTAATTACTAGAGTATGGGAAACAAAAAGTAACAGACTGGGACTGGTGTTGGATTAAGTCCTGTATAAGTACCTCCATTGCTGAAAAAAAGCAAACATTCAGTATGTTCAGTCCTGCAAAACTCTCTAAAAATGTGCATTTACAAGATACCATGTAGTACTGAATAGAGAGTGTAAGATGGAAAGAATTTGCAATGAAACTGAAATAGCACAACCATATGGCAAACTGTATGGAAATGTGACACTTGTTTCTCTTATTAATGGGTTTTCTACATATACAGTTTTGCTTCAGGCTAAAAACATACAGGCCTGACAAGTTAAAGACCAAGGAAAGCTGAAGCCACCAGCAGTGTTAAAGTTGAAACAGTATGTATGGCAGTGTGGTTTTTCAGATGCACATTGCTGAAATCCACTTGTTTGAAATGCTGGAGCGGCTTATCGATTATGAAATCTAAAAACGTACCTACCATAACAGGCATTAAAAGCAGCCACATTGGCTAGAGCTCTAGCTATATAATGAGTTTTAGAAACAAAAAGGGGGGGAGGGCGGGAGGGTGATTAAAGCCAAATGCTGTGGTGTTGTGTATGCCAAGTCACATCACAGTGGTATTTCATTGATGATGGGGGCACATTATACAATAATTTGATGACAAAAACTTGCGTATGCAGTGCCAGTGATGTCCTCATGCCGCTTACTTCTGCTCTTGGCAACCAGCTTCTGTGTGCCAGGGTGGGAAAACCAACAGGAAACATGGCACCGCACGATATCCTACATGGTGTTTGACATTATCTGCTGAAATTTAGCCCTTCGTAGCACATACCCCTTTTTGTCTCTCGAGGACATCCTCCATTTGAGCTTTGCATCTGCAGGAAAGTTTCAAGCTTGTTTGACATAGTAGAACTGAAATATGACCAGCACAGACATTAGATACAATCTGTTTTATAGTTCACTCGTGCTGAACCTTTTTTTTTTCCCCTCTTCTTTCTGTTCACCTAAAGGTAAATTTGAAGAAAAGGAAGACAGTGTTCCCAAACTTGAACAGTTGAACAGCTTGGGTTGTATGACTAACATGAATTTGGTACTAACAAAACAGAATTTGCTTCATATGGAGTTGTTGTTGCTAGAAACATTTCAGTGGAATTTGTGCCTCCCAACTGCTGCTCATTTCATCGACTATTATCTTTCTATTGCTGTCCATGAGACTGATCTTCATGATGGCTGGCCAATGGTTTGCTTAGAGAAGACTAAGTTATATATGGCAAAATATGCTGATTACTTTCTGGAAGTATCACTGCAAGGTGAGTTACATATTTCAGGTAATGAGTCCTTTGTTGTCTTGACAGACAATGTCCAACTTAAATGAATCTTTTTCTTAATTCCTTCTTTCTAGATCATGCATTTTTAAATTATGCCCCTTCTTTAGTTGCTACTGCGTGTGTAGCTTCTTCAAGGATTATCTTGCGTCTCTCACCAACATGGCCTACCCGACTGCATCATCTTACTGCATACTCCTGGGATTTCCTAGTGCCATGTATTGAGCGACTATTAATGTAAGTTAACCACAGCAGCTTTTTTTAAGCCCATTTCCTCATCTGTTGGTATGCTTAATTGCTGTTAGCACTGAAAGTAAATTTCTCTTTGAATTTCAGTTTTTCTATTCTAAAAATACTTAGGTAATACTGTTAGGTAATTACTGTTTTGTTCTTTCCAAAAAAGAAAACCTTACCAGGTCTAACCTCTTTCCTGTTCTTTCAACAAACAAATCTCAGGCTTGCATTTCCACTGAACATCTTTTGGCATGCTTTGAGAATCTGTTAAATAACTTATTCCCAATCTCTGTAGTCTACTCGGAGAGGAAAAAGAGATAGTGAAGAGTACCAAAGGCATAGGAGCTCCTACTTACCCTGAAGACACTATGCCTTGGAAGTTCAAGGGATGCTCCAAACAGATTATGAAGTTTGCTCTTGTGCAGATCTAAATACAGCTGTGCTCTGTAGAAGCACAAGAATAGCTGTATCTGGAAGAATCACATCTTCCTTATAAGTGTGATGTTGTCACCCGTGGTGGCCTCTTTTGGCTTCACTAATGTGTCTCATGAAAGGGATAGTACCTAAAGCATGCAAGTGCTGTTGCAGAAGTGTTTTCAGTATTGCTCTGAAAGACCTGGGGGGGGTGGGGGGGTGGCAGGTGGCGAAGCCTTTCAGTCATCTTTGCAGTGCACCATAAAAAGTTAGCAATCTTTTAGGAAAAATTGGTGAGGGGTTGAACCCCAACTGTCTTCAAGAGATCTGCCCTGTATAGGCAGTACCAAAAAACAGATGATTTTAGGCCTGACTGAAGTTTGTAGGTGGCATCTGCTTAACCTCAGCATAAGAGCAAGAGAAAGAGTATGTCTAAATACATTTGAGATAGGTGTAAATCAAAGGGAATTCAGGTGAGCTAAACTCTGTAACTTAAGTACTGGGTGGGCTAGAAAAAAGGTGAGAGGAAGAAAAAAAAAAAACGCATTTCCATTCACCAAAGCAGGATCCAATATAAATATTCATATGATCTTTAAGTACTGTAATGTAGATCTTTTAAAAACCCTCTGATATCATAGAATAGCTTAGGTTGGAAGGGACCTCTAAAGGTCATCTAGCCCAACCCCTCCTGCAATAAGCAGGGGCATCTTCAACTAGATCAGGTTGCTCAGAGCCCCGTCCAACCTGACCTTGAATGTTTCCAGGGATGGGGCATCCACCACCTCTCTGGGCAACCTGTGCCAGTGCTTCACCACCCACATCATAAAAAATTTCTTCCTTATATCTAGTCTAAATCTACCCTCTTTTAGTTTAAAACCATTACTCCTTGTCCTATCGCTACAGGCCCTGCTAAAAAGTTTATATCGTGTCTTTAAAAACCCTATACTCTATTATCCAACTTAAATGAGGTAGAAGCAGCAAGTAAGTTTTAATTTCAGGTTCTGGTAATCTGGCACTTTATTGGAGTACACTAGCAGACCTTATTGCACTGGTAATTTTAGATACTGCTGTATTATTTGTATTGGCATGAAATGAAGTGAAATGCTGAAAAGAAACTCTATCCCAAAGAAACAAATTTTAAAACCTTAGATGATTTTGAAGGGTAGGCTAAAATGATTTTCTCTTTCTTTTTTTAAACACTTTGGAAGCTTTCAGATAATTGCATCATTTGTTAGAGTGCTTTCAAAAGTTAACCAAAAAGAGTTTTAAATTATTTTAATATCTATTTTCATGTATTCTGTCTTCTCAATTTGTTTTAGTGCGCATGATAATGATGTGAAGGAAGCAAACAAGCAAAAAGGACAACATGGTCAGTCTGCCCAACATACTGTATTTCAGACCCCAGCTCCAACTCCCCAGCAGGCTAATGCTCAACAGCACATACCACAGTATCTCCAAGCTCATCAGTCTTCATTACAGTATCACCATCAGACATCACAGCAGCAAAACTGTCAACAGATATTATCATCTAATCATACAGCATCTTACCCGCTCCAGACTTGCCCTGCTGCCTTACAGTCCAGTGTTCAGGCTCGAGGCCATGTACAGACTGGTGCTGCAATGTCACTAGCTGTTCCGCTAGAAGTGAAGCCATGTATAAGTGTCTCCTACAACCGGAGTTATCAAGTGAATGGACGATATTCCTGTATTACTCCCTGCTTTGAGAGGTGATAAGTACAAAATGGTTTTGTGCTTGTTTGTTTGGGGTGGGAAGTTGTGTTGAGGGGAATTGTTTTGGTTTTTTGTTAAACCTCAAATAAGTTTGAGGGCAACAAATTGAATAAAAAAAAGTCTTTCCAGAAAAAAGTAACTGGATTGGCAACCAGTACCGTAGCTCAAATACAGACTGCAAAAAATAAGCACACAGAACACCCTCTAAAAAGAATGTGTATACCTGGGGGTAATAAGTTCTTACGCTGGCACTCAGAATTCTCTGTGCTTCTAACGCACATCTTTGAAATACTAGTCAAAAGAAAAATAGCTGTGGACTAACTACAGATTTACTTTTAATGAAGGAGATATGCAGTATTATTTTGAAGACATTTATGTAATACCACCATACAGTATTAACACTTACTTTAAATTTACTGAAACTTACAAATCCATTGAATGCCAGACTTCTCCAGATACATGGGGACCACAGGAAGAAACAAATCTCATCTGGCTAACTCCATACTCTTGCCCCTTTTTCAGCACTTGTGTTGGATATTTGCTTTAGGCTAAGGCATTTGGTATTTTGGCTAGTTTTTAAGTTTTGTACCTCACAGGATAGACACTATGTTTTTCCTTCTTTTCTCCTCCTTATCCTTTTTATGTTTAAAGTAATTCTTTCATACTAACTCAGGGAATTTTCTACTCATTACTCTGTGCTGCTGGTTTGTACACTTAATTGGGTATAAGTTGAGAGAGGAAGGTAGAAAGGGAAGAGACTGTAGCAAGTGGAGTGGCTTTTCTTCAGGGCATCTATGTGCAGAGTACCAAAGGGATATGTTAGTGTTCACAGAATGTAGGTGTGAACTACTGCCCAGCAGTGTGGCATCGAGTAATTGAAGAAAAGAGAAAGTTTCAGCTGAACTGGTACTGTACCAGAACTACTACAGTGGCTGTGATTCCTCTGTGTACATACAAACACACATGTATTATTAACCAACAGAAAGCATCCTCCAATTGTACTGACAGTATCACTTGTACAAAAAAAGTACAGTTAAATGCTTATAGAAATCCAGTTCTGTCAGGCTTATAGTGGAGGAAAATTCTCAGGTAATAGTGGGGCAACTCTTTCTTCTACTATTTGGGAGTTCCAGAAGAAAATGCAGAGATTTACCCTTCTAAATGGGTGGGTCAAAAAATATATTGCAGAGTGAACTGCTTTATCACAATTAAGGTGCTAATTGCATGACTATATGGAATTACACTCTCTCCTGTGGAGTGGATAGTCTGAGGGTAGAAAGCTTCACTCATCCAACTCTTGGATGAAAATGGTGGTAGAGATATTAATGGAGGATTTTTTTTTTTTTTTAAATACAAGAAGATACCTGACTTTCTCCTGTGGTAGAATATGGGAGGAGGAAGTATGGATGACAGGATTCTTACTACTTTAAAATATCTTTATAGTGTGTGGGCTTAAGGCGCTTTTGTTTTATTTGTTCTTTTACCACCTTCTTCTCCCCTGTCTTAGTGGCAGCACTTAAAAATGTGTACCATCTAATGACACTGAAGTATTGTGAATCTTCCAGAGACTGTTTTGAAAGTAGGGGTAATTAAGATACATTATCAATATGAAGATGAAGGCTTTATCACAGGAGAGGGGGCCTTACCATAATGTTCAGAATGGAGGGAGGACAGCTGTGTTCATTCTTTCTGGGGCTGAATGATAACATGCTACAAAAACCTATTTATAGTTGAGGAGAAGAAATCCTATTTCTCTTGTTTTGTTTTTTTGCATAAATCCCAATTTTTTTTGTGGGCTTTTGTAGCGTGTATGTACAAGTCAAGAGGGATAGGAGGGTGAATGAAAGAGATGACCCTCTCTGCTTTATGCTAGAGAATCAACTTTGAAATAGCCATAGTGTGGTCAATTCTTAATTAAAGTGCAAGCTGGTTTGGTTTGGGGGGGAGGGGAGGGGGTTCCCTCCTCTCTTCATCTCTTAATGAATATTTCCCCATGTCTGAGAGTAGTGTTAAGTAGAGACTTTCCACCTCGTAAGATGCCATGCTTTTTATTCAGCATTGTTACCCATTTAAGAGGGAAATGGACTTCCTTCTGCCGGTTTCATTTTGTTGCAATGCTATGTCCGAGTCCTCAGTGCTCTAACTACCTCTGATGCTATGAATGTACAGTCTTGTAATAGACCATGACTTGAAATAACAGCAGATGCCTGTAGCTTTTTTTTTCTGTAAAATCTTTAAATCGGCTAACTTGTCATCTTTAATTAGACACAACAGTATAGGCTCTTCTTTTTTGGGGTATTAGTAAATTTATCCCATAGGCATTTGATATATAAAAATTTAACTAATACTTAACACTGGAATTATAATGGGCGGGGGCTTATTCAGTTAGTTAATACTGCAAATTTACATTTAATAGGGTATTTTTTATTTGACTATTTTAAGACATTAGGTCAACTGTAAAAAGATCCACTACATGCTGTTTGTTTTTAATTTATTACTTAGTCTAAGTTTTGTTCTGACACTACAGCTGCATAATGACTACAGAGAAAATGTACACTGAACAGTTTCAATATATTATTTAAAAGGGCTTTACCAGTGTACATTAAAAATACACTGTTCTTACTATTAGAACCAAAATGTGTTTTTTATGGCATAAATAAGAATGGTGCTCCTAAATGCAAAATGTCCAAAACAATGGAATCTTTGTGAGTGCTATGCATTCAACTTATTTTTAAAAATAAAACTAGTTTTGAGTAAGAAGGCTGCAGTGTGTATTATGCTTTTGTGTGTGTGGTTTTTTAAGTATGTAAACTGACCCTAATCTGTCTTGCATCATCCTTGTGCATGGGCTGAAGATATAAGGACTTTCTTCTTTCTCCCCACCCTTTCTGTGACACTATAATAAGCTTCAGGAACACTGACTTTACAATTAAAAAAAAAAAAGGAAGGAAATCATGCAGGAAGGGGCTTTAAAACTAATTGCACCCACAGCATATGCTAAACACTGTACACTTCAACAGTGTGGCTAGTGCACAGCTGTAACAAAGAAATCAAGAACAAAAGAACTGTAGTAGTTCAAGAGCAGGGGGGTGAATTCCTTTTGTTCTCATTTTCAAAAAAAGTGGTACTGGCAATCTCTTACTTCTAATACTAGAAATCATTTAGGAGAAGATGTGGGAAGCCTTTTGTCAAGAGCTACAAGCACTTAGGTTATTTACAACAGTTGTGAAGGTCTATTGTGGTGAAGGCAGCATAAAATCATGTGATGCACCTTAGCAGAAATATTTTTGGATGCTTACAATTTCTGACAACTGCTCCTTACTAAAAGAAATTCTGGTTCTTCCTAATAATGTGCACATATCACATTTGTAACAAGGCTACGTGATTATGGCTAGAGCTCCAAAAATGAAGTAGGTTGCATAGCATTTAATTCTTCCAATTCTGGTTCTTCCTAATAATGTGCACATTTCACATTTGTAACAAGGCTATGTGATTATGGCTAGAGCTCAAAAAATTAAGTAGGTTGCATAGCATTTAATTCTTCTAAAGTTTTAGAGAATGAAATTTAGCTTGCACCCATCCATTTAGGAATAAACTCTGATTGTGAAAACCCTTCTAGAGGGCCTAGAGCCAGAGGGAGAGCAAGCTCTACTCTGTCCCGCTAAGGAACAAAGGCAATACTCCAGTGTGGTGGTGGCATGCATATTACGTGGATACTTTGATCTGGAAAGTTTTGCCCTCACCCTTAGGGCAGCAAAAGTCAAGTCTGTCTAGACCGTCTCCTTGAAATCTCAAATTTTTATGTGTTTTACTGTAATTACAAAATAGGAACTACCCCTGACCTTTATGAGTCTTTAACAACTAAAAGGACTGCCAGCTACTTTTCACTTCAATATTTCAGTAGAAGTCTCAACTTCAGATTTTAATTGCAAGCCTGAAGCTTTTTGTGTTTGTACATAACAAGAAAAGCTTTATCTCTGCTTCCCGTGACCCAGGTTCATTATCTACATTAAATATGAGGATATTTATAGTCTTCCAGGTCTGCAAATTTAGCTTAAAAGATGAAATTTAAAGTTAACATTTTAGTGACTGGCACATCACCAGAAATAAAGATTTTTTTGCAATTGTAATACTGCTGTTAAGAATATATAAGTGCCAGAAAGTAATGTAGCATCCTCCTTTAATAATTTATTAGTTCTACATTCTGAATGTTCACAGGAACAAAATATCTTGAGTAGATGAGGCCTTATCTGACTGAATACAAATGCCCAAGTTAGTCTTATTTTATGACAGGTTGTCAACAGCGATTTTTTAAAACACCAAGTAAAGCGGCAATAACAAAATACACACTTGTTTTTAGTCCCCATTACAATGATATTTTAGAAGTTATGGCACAAGCACATACATTTGTGAAGTTTACATTACACATTTTGCTCTTTCCCTGTAAATAAATGTTACGTAATAAATTTCTGTAACTTCAATAAACAAGACGTGCATTCTGACAAAGGAAAGCATTTGCTACGAAACATTCCAAAAAACCCCAAATAGCTTATAACTGAGTAATTAAAGAGTAACTATATGTAAAGTAGCTCCAGGTTTTAAAAATTCTCAGTGCAACCGAGGATGTGGGCTTCTGCTGCCAGTCCTACCAAGAGAAGAAGGGAGACTTAAGGAAGACTTACAGGTGTTAAAACTGCAAACCTGAGATTCAGTGTCTAATGTTCATATTCACCAGTGCAAGTCAGTTAAATTGTTACCGCACCTATTAGCTGGTATATGCATTCTACAGCTGTTTAGAAATACTGCTTGCTTTTCTTTGAACATTTGAATTTACTCTCTTGAAACGGCAAGATAAAAGAACGCTTCCGTAGAACAACCCATTAAAGCTCTCTTAAAAGAAAGCATGCATTTTCCATATTCTATGAATCATTTAAAAGACCACTCTAAGGCTATATATTCTATAGGAATTTTTTCCTGCTAATCAGTCATTAATTACTAGGGGATTTACAGCCATTAGAACGCAAATTTATAGTTTATTCCGCAGATAACGTATAGTTAGAATCTTCCTATAACAGCTAACACCCTGGCTTATTTCTTGCGGTACTGAAAAGATGTGTTATGGACTTGCTACATTTTGCAACCAAAAAGCTTCATTTCCTAGTTTTCATTCCTTATCTAGATGATTGTTGTAGGTCCCTTTCAACTGAAATATTCTAGTCTATTATTCCATGAGAGGTAAGCAACAGTAACTTTGTTTTTAAACATTATAACTAAAGGAAACTTATTCATGATTGATCAGAGAAACTAAGTAGACCCACAAAACCAAAATATTATTTGGATATGGATGAAAATACACATCAAGAGAAAATTCTTTGCTGGGAATTTCTGAAAAATGAGTGCCGGTTTGATACACAGCTTCAATTACTAACTGCAAATGCATGTATGGCATCTGGATACGGTATCTGATAAGTAGGAAAAAAAAATATTACAGCTGGAACTGCAACTTGGAAGGATTATTTAAGAAAAAAAATTGTTACATATCTTTATCAATAACCGCTCTCTAGTTAAAACCTTTTAATATATAAAAAATGCTCTACTACATGTGCAATGCTTGTAGTTTAAATGAAGCATTTTACAATTACCTTTTATGGACTCAATCAGTTGTTCTGGTAACCAAGCTCTTACTTGTCAAGAACTATTTTCTCCTTAAAGACCTTTTTCTATGCATCTTCAGGTATCT